TGAGTACAGCCAAACTTGACAGTCTCTTCTCTGTCATTGTAGACCGCAAATACCTCATTGCTTCCGTCTACTTGGGTCCGAATGCTTCTCGTTTTGCGCCGTAGTGAAATCGCCGCCAATCATATTTCCAAGCTCGCGCCAGGGCCGGGGGAGGGGTTACAAGACTCGCATCTTGTGCTGCATTCACTTGCACTCGGACATTAGAGATTTTCTCTCATAAATGTCCGATTAGCCACAACTTTTCTTCCAAAACAAAGATGCCAACTAGGGTGGCAGCTGGGGTGGCAAGGCTGTTTTTTAGGGTGGCAGTTGCCACCCCGGTAGATCCGCCCTGACATCATTCACTCTGACAGGACACTCCGTACAAAATGTGTCAGAGGAAAAAAAGGAAACATCCCTCCTATAAGAGGGAAAAATGCTGCTCTCCGCGTGCCAAGAGGCAGGAGAGAGGCGCACAGCTGGATCCCTGACGTCACTCACTCTGACAGGGCACCCAGTACAGGGTGTGTCAGAGAGGAATGGGAGACATCCCTCAAATACAATTGAATAAATGAACAGGGGGAAGACCAAGATGCAGCAGTGCAAATGTCTTCCACTGACATTCCTCCGTGCAAAGCCGTGGAGGAGGACATTCCTCTGGTGGAGTGCGCATTGATGTTCTCCGGGGGCTCCACCCCAGAGGAGACAGATGCCTGTGACACCGCCTCACACAGCCAGTGTGACAGCCGTTGTGCAGACAGAGGTTGCCCGATCGACCGATAGTGCACAAACAGGCGCTGAGAACGGCGCTAGGCTGCCGTGCGCGCCACATAGCAGGGCCGCGCGCACAGGACAGAGGAGATGAGACGTGGCTTCTTCCTCCGACCTGTAAGGAGGAGGGAATAAGCTAGCCAGGGTGATCACTCTTGACCTAAAAGAGTTGTGATGACCTTAGGAATGAAGCCGGGTTAGGGCGTAAAACAGCTGAACTGCCATCTCCTTGGATCCGGAGACCTGACGGAGCCACAGAGAGAGCAGACAAATCACTCACCCTTTTCGCTGCTATTAGAGCCAAAAGTAGTACTACTTTGGCTGATAACAGTTTAAGGGGAACCTGATCCAAAGGTTCAAATGGGGCTTTGCTTTAGTGCGCGTAACACCAAAGCCAAATCCCACTGAGGCGCCAGTGCGCGTGACCCGCCAGTTTGCGTGACACAGGTCTGAGTCTCCATACTCCTCGCATACAACGGCTGCTGCGTTCTGCGAGCCCCTCTGTTCAATTCGCCGGGAATATACATTGCTCTGATGGAGAGCAACGTGTGTGCGCGCCCAGAACAGCAGCCGTCTGGCTGCGTTCAGAAGCTGCGCAGATCGTACTCCTCCCTGGCGATTGAGGTAGGCTGCCGTGGCCTGTTGTCTGTGCAAATCAACACATGTCTGATTGTACAGCAACAAGGTGAAGTGCTGGAATACTTCCCAACCGGAGAACAGCTCCAGCACATTTACCTCAACGCACGGGGTCGTTGAGCGGGCGAATGAACCACCTCTGGAGACTCCCAGGGGGATCCCCACGTGACCAGCTGACGTCATGCTAAGCAGCTGTATCACGGAGAGGGCCTGCGGAATGTGACACGCCGGAGAGGGAGCTGTCAGTTCCTCCACTCGCTGCCGCGAGAGCCGCGCTCTGCTGGCTGAGTTTAATTCCACTCCCAGATAAACGTTTGTCTGAGAGGGAAGAGGACAGCTCTTCTTCAAATTCATTATGAAAACCCAGGCTTTGACAGATGCGATACGAGATGTAACGTCTGTAAAACGACTTCCTCCCTGGAGCGAGCCAGCAATAGCAGGTCGTCCAGATAAAACCACATCCTGGTGAACACATTCCAGCATTTGTTTGATCGTCAGCATGTGTTTCTCTCTTTTTGGAACACTGACAGATCAAGGATGGGTCTCACTCCCCCGTTTTTTTCCCGCGATTTAGAAAATAACGGGAGTAAAAACCCCTGATTTTCCTCCCTTTTGGAAAAAATGCCTTTTTCAACAGGAGTTCCTGCAGCGCTGAATGGAGCGCAAGACACTGTTCCTGGGATGACAGGAGTGTTTCTTGTAGTGATGGGTCGTTCGCGAACGATTGATTGATTGATTGATTGATTGATTGAAAAGTTTATTAACAGCTTGTATATTGGGTACAGTACAGTACAGCTCAAAACATACAATTGTTAAGGGGATGCAGACCAGAGAAAGACTTTCGTCTTGTTTACATCAGGGTCCCCCATTTCCAATTCATCATATCATTTAAGACATATAAGACATATTTGACATACAGATGGCTTATTTACAATTTACATACAGGTGGTTTTTTACATACAGATTGCTTATTTACAATTTTCATTTTAGATTTCGCTCTAATACATCCTAACCGGACATTTAAGACATACCAAGTCTACAGATATACAGTTAGTAACAGAGTCTAAAATGCGAGTATATACATAGATGGGGGGGGGAAGCTGTCCATTGAACGACAGGTTGAGATTTGTACCATTACCGGGGCCAGTTTTGCAATGCTCTCCCCCGAAGGTGCTCTTTAAGAGAGGTTTTGAAGGTAAGTATAGTTTTACTTTCCTTTACAGTTGTGGGAAGAGTGTTCCACCTTGATGTGGCATAATTGCGAAACGTGTATTCCCCCTTTTTTGTGCCACATTTGGGTTTCACATGATTTGTGGAGCTCCCTCTGGTGTTATGATCATGGTATTCCTTGACCTTTGGGAAGAATTTTGACATGTACATGGGTACCATAGAGGTGTAGTGGATATGGTAGACCAGGCCCATTGCAAGTAGCTGTACTCTGTCGTCTCTGCCATCTTAGGTTGTCAAAGTGGGCAGAGGTGGGTTCTAGATGAAAGGTCAAGCAGTAGTCTGACCAGTTTATTTTGCGATGTTTGAAGTTTTATTTTTAGCGCCTTGGAGGTGCTATGGTACCATGACGTGCAAGCATAGTCATAGTACCCTTGAATGAGTGCTCCTGCCAGAGTTTTCAGGGTGTTTTTGTTTACCAGAGAGGAGATCCGGTATAGGAATCTAGTTCTTTGATTGACTTTTTTTATTACATTGGATGCCATTTTGTCACAGGAGAGGTTTGCTTCAAGAATAGATCCTAGGTATGTAATTTCCTTCTTACTTGTGACAATAATGTCACCCACTGCAACTGAGAAGTCGTCGGATTTGCTGAGATTATGTTTCGAACCGAAGAGAATGGACTCTGTTTTACCCAGGTGTAATGATAATTTATTATCGGCGAGCCAGGTGCAGATTCTGCCGAGCTCGGAGCTGATGGTTTTTTCAACCTGCAATCTTCTCCTGTCAGAGACCAGCAGGGCTGAGTCGTCCGCGAACAGGAACAAGTTGCAGTCACATGCTGATGACATGTCATTTACATAAATTAGGAACAGTAACGGACCTAATATGCTTCCTTGTGGAACACCACAGCTCACTGGGAGGGGGGGGGGACAGAGTACCGTTTACCTCCACCATCTGTTCTCTCCCTTCCAGGTAGGATTGCATCCAGCTCACCGATAGTCTATCAAAACCAATTGCTTTTAGCTTGTCAATCAGAATGGGGTGATTGACAGTGTCGAAAGCCTTTTGTAGGTCCAGCATCACCATGCCGCAGTATTTGCCCTCGTCCACCTCTTGTTTGATGTGGTTGCTCAAATAAAGAAGGCATGTGTCAGTGGAGTGGGATGTTCTAAAGCCAGATTGAAATTCATAGATTAGTTTATTTTCCGCGAGGTACTTTTCGACCTGTTCATATACTATTTTTTCCATGACTTTCGAGATGGAGGTAAGTATAGAAACAGGGCGGTAGTTGCCTGGGTCCAATTTGCTGCCCTTTTTGTGCAGGGGGGTTACTCTTGCAATTTTGAAGTCTTTGGGTACTTTTCCCTGTTTTATGGAGAGGTTAATTATGTGAGCTATGACTGGTGAGATGGCGGTTGCTGTGTCTCTGAGGAATTTGGAGGGGATATTGTCGTGGCCAGTGGCCTTGTTAGGTTGGAGGGCGCTCAGTTTAATGAGTACCTCTGCTGTTGTTACCCTTGCTAGACTGAAATCATCTTTGCGTACCCCTAGGTTTTTGTAGTAGGTCATGATGTGATCTACTCCAAAAAGCCCTGAGTGGGAGGGTAATTTATTTACAAGAGTTGTGGCTATGTTTGTATAGCTTTCTTTTTGAACGAATCTTTGAAGTGAACGAGATGAACTGATTCCTCCCACAAAACGATTCATTTGTTTGAGTCGCCGCCTTCCGCCAAAAGCTAAAGAGAAGCTGTTCGCGAACGACGAATTTAAAGAACTGGCGGAAACAGTTCAGAACTGTTTCCTACAGTGTACTGTAATCAGAGCCCTCTCACCTGAGCTCCGTTACACACACACACACACACACACACACACACACACACACACACACACAGGAGCGGGACATCCTCCTCAACCTGCCGCCATAAAGAGGACGGATACCTGAACCGTTGCGTCCAGCTAGCTTAGCGATAAATACACACATCGTTGTATTCTCCTCCGCCTGTCGGCCCTAAAAGCTGAGCTCCCGCTAATGTGAAACACACACACACATACACACACACACACTCACACACAGCGTTAGCGGGACATTCTCCTCCCCGTGTTGGACTGCGGTCAACTCAGCCGTCTCTCAAATTTGCTTGGTCAAATGAGCAGTTCTTCATTTTTGAGTGCGCGATTTATAGCGCCTTTACGGTAATCGCTGAGAAGCGGCACTAACGCAAGAGTAACGGCCCGTCTACACTACAGGCGTCAAAAAATGCTTTCAACGCTTCGCCCATTCATTTGAATGGGGTGACGTAGGATATTTTCAAACTTCGCCGAACTGCATTGTGGGTAGCTTGGCAAGGCGTTGCAAGCGTCGCGATGCTTTCTCGAAGCTGGCGTCAGCCAATCAAATCCCGTTTTTGCAATTCCCGCCAGTACAAGCGCTAGCCAATCAAACCGCGTGTATGCTGATCCCGCAGGTCTTGACTATTTTCCATATGTCATAAAATGGAAGACAAATTAATCATTGCTGTGGCAAATGTCCCAGTCCTGTATGACTGTACTCTGTTCACCTACCGGGACCTAAACCGGAGGAACCAGGCATGGCGGGAGGTGGCAGAGACAGTTGGTGAAACTGGTAGGTTTTCAACTGTTTGGGGAGTTTATATCCAGTTTACTTCGTTTTAGCATTGAATGGACAGCTAGTAATGTAGCATAATAACATATAATATATATTAATAAAAAAACATTATAATAAGCATAATATATAACATAACATATAATACATGCACAGCTATCAAGCATAGACAGTATATTTAGCCAGCTAGTAATGTAGCATAACATATAATGTATATTAATACAAAAATATTATATATAATATAATAAGTATAAGCATAATATATAACATATAATACATGCAGAGGGTGTCGTTTTTCTCATACTGATATTCTGAACAATCTGTGCTGTTGTATTTGCTGTAAAGTGTCTCTACTGTAGGCTAATTTTATTATATGTACAGCACTTTGGCTCGACCAAAAATCGTTTATAAATGTGCTATATAAATCAAACTTGATTTGATTCACAGCTATCAAGCATAGACAGTATATTTAGCCAGCATGGAATGTAGCATACAAATAGCATTCATTAATGGAGGAATAATTTAGTAAATTCAAGAAATTCACTTTATTATTTATTAACTTTATTATTTCATTTCATTTTATTAGATAATGTCTGCAAGAAGAGATGGAAGAGTCTGAGGGACAGGTTCCGCAAGGAAAAGAATATGGAGAAGGAGGCCAAAAGAAGCGGAGCAGGGTCTGCAGGGGGGTACAAGCCCTGGCGTTTCATGGCAGTGATGGGGTTTTTAACCCCATTCATCATAGACCGTGAGACGTCCAGCAATGTCCCCCGGCAGACCCTGCCTCCATCCACCCTGGTGGCAGAGGAAGAGAGCCAGGTAGACAGTGAGTCAGCCAGCCAGTCCACCAGCCAGTCCGCCAGTCAGCAGTCAGCCAGGAGGAGAATGCTGAGGTCCGGGGCAAAACACGGGGGAGGGGGAGGGAGATGTCCCCGTTTGAACGAAGTCTGCTGTCAGCAATTACCCAGCAATTGCCCAGCCAACCCCACCAGTGGTGGAGGAGGACGAGGACTTGCAATTTTTCAAGAGCCTCTTGCCCACCATGAGGCAGATGACAAGGGCACAGAGGGCAAGAGTCCGCCTCGGGGTACACCAAATAATTTTTGACGTGGACCAGCAGGACAATTTATAATTTTTTCACACATACTGATCCACATTACATTTTTTTACACTCATCACTCATCACACACACTTCACTCAAATTCACCAAATAAAACATTATTTCAAGTATGTTATGGCTATACTGTGTCTTCACTTGTTCATGTGGTTTGTCAGTTGCAACATACCAGAAGCTTCATGTATGTCGGTATATATAATGTGCTTTCTTCTGTAATTGGTCATGTGAAAACCTATTGAAATTATGAGTGGTTTATCAGTAAAAACAGGGCTGAAAGAAAAAGGTTGTTAGTCATATCATGATATAATAATATCAATTCAAGAAACATGTTTATTAGGAATGTTTGATTTTAAAATGGCTCATTTGGAATATTTGCTCTTTAAAGAAAATGGGTAGCTCTTAAAAGAGCTTTTGGTTTGGAGGAGCCATGGTGACCCTACACCACTTTATGCTGCCATGACACTACACCCTCCTCATTCAAATAGGAGCAGAAGGTCTCCCGCAGTTGGATGGATTGGCGTGTGGCGTTGTTTGAGCCCATCATAGGTGCATCGCGCAGGGTTGGAGCTTCATCACTCGACTCTGCGACGACAGGGACGACAGGTGTGCGTGATGACCTTCCTATTGTCTTCCTGCGGAGGAAGTTGTGCAACACACAGGTGGCCTTCACACACAACTCTGTTACCTCCGGGCTGGTGGTGATGACACGCCGGAACATTCTCCACTGAGATGAGAGGATGCCAAACGCACATTCAACCACCAACCTGGCCCGGCTGAGGCGGTAGTTGAACAGCCTCCTTTCACGCGTGAGCTGACGTCCAGGGAACGGACGCAGCAGGTTGTCCAGCAGCGGAAAAGCCTCATCTCCAACAAACACATGGGGAAGAAGGCCCAGCCGCTCTGCTCCTGGGATGACGGTGTCAGGTGGTAGCTGCAGACTGCCATCTCTGAGGCTCTCTCCAAAAGCGGAATTCCGCAGGCTCCCACCGTCGCTGCTCCTTCCAAAACCTCCGACATCCACTACCCTGAAGAGGTACTCAGCATCCACAACAGCCAGCAGTACCAAGGAGTGGCTGGACTTGTAGTTGAAGTAGAGGGACCCAGAATTTGCCGGAGCCTGGATCACCACGTGCTTTCCATCAATGGCACCAACGCAATTTGGAAAGTTCCAGCGCTCCTGGAACCCAGCAGCGATGGCTCTCCAGTCCTCCGTCTGTGGTACCGGCATGGTCTCCTCGACCAGCGCGGTCCAGATGGCACCCGCAACCTCCTTGACGATGACAGCCACTGTTGCATGCCCGACCCGATAGCTGAATGCTATGGTCCTGTACGAGTCACCGGTTGCCAGGTACCTGAGAAAAAAGTAATATACAAGATTTTTTTTTTTAAAGTTATACGCCACGCAGACACACACACCACAGAAACACACACACACATCAGACACACACACCACAGGCAGACACAAACACCACAGACACACACACCACAAACACATCAACATACCACAGACACACACACCACAGACACACCAACATACCACAGACACACACACACACATCACAGACACACCACAGGCACACACATCACAGACACACACACACACACACACACATCACAGACACACACATACACCACAGGCAGACACAAACACCACAGACACACACACCACAGACACATCAACATACCACAGACACACACATCACAGACACACACACCACAGACACACCAACATACCACAGACACACACATCACACAGACAGACACACACAGACACACACATACACCACAGGCAGACACACACACAGACCACAAACACACACACACACACACACACAGGGGAGCAATACTGCATTTACCTAGCTATCTTAATTAATGTCATTCATCTGAACTACATCACAGACTTCATTCATCCATTGCATGCATTCTCTCTCTTTATATACAGAGTCATATTAAAGAAGTAGAAATACACAAAACGTACCGTAGGCAGATGGCGAGTAGCTCGGCGGGTCCGATTGACAAACGCATACGGGTGTCTGCCTTTGCAATCAGTGGACCGACTTTTCCGAGCAACTCGTCAAACGCGTCTTTGCTCATCCTGAAGTACTGCTGAAACAGTACACCATCCAGGCGGAGCTCTTGGACAAGAACGTGGTATTCCCCCCGTTGCAGACGTTTTCTGAGTATTTTATGTACCCAACAGCGACGCACTATACGTGGCCTCCTGCAAGACATTGCATAAACCAACGCTACCGTTGCTACAAAACCGGCATCCATTTTGGCAATAGTGTAGAAGAACCGGGCTTTTTTTTGCTTTGTATGCTGGGGGCGGGCGGGAGATTCCTGATTGGTTGTTGGTCGCCTTGGGCGCGAGAAAGCGCCAAGCCTCAGACACGCCCAGCTTCAAGCTTTTTCGACGCCTGTAGTGTAGACGGGCCGTAACACAATGCGTGTTTTTTCTGCTTTATGCGTTACAAATTATTTTTACCATAAATTGTTAAAAGTCCTAGTTTGACTGCTACCAACAATAGTAGTACTTTTACTGTCTTTTTTCTGGGTAATTTTTTTGAGTAATACTCTGTCAAACTCCCCTCCAGAGTACAATAATGTATGTTTTCTGCAATCTTTGATGAGAGATAAAATGATTTTTTGCCATAAGTTCTCAGTGAGAGTGGTACCGCTGGACAGAGTACTACTTGGAGTACGACCACAAGTACAATCAAGTACTTCTATCGTGTACTTTTTGAGTAATACCCTGTCAAACTCCCCTCCAGAGTACAATAATATATGTTTTCTGCCATCTTTGATGAGAGATAAAATGATTTTTTGCCATAAGTTCTCAGTGAAAATGGTACTGCTGGACAGAGTACTAATGAAAGCTTTAGCGCAAGTTCAATAAGGAACACCTAACAATGAGTCACTTACACGTCACTCTATTGCTCCCTCCCCCCTCATTAAATACGAGGGCGTCACTCCTCAGCAGCCCCTAGCTGCACATGCTAAAATCCTTAAATGCCTGCTCTTCCTCCCTGTCAGTTGTCATTTCAGGTGACCACACGCAACCCGCCTCCTCGCCTCCCGTCTCCTCCAGGACAAAGCTAAACCTTCCTTCTTCAGACCGGTCCCACCTACTTATCACCACCACCAGTGTCTAGACCCCGGGGATTTCATCGGAGCGGTTCTTTCCCTCCTGAATGATTATCCTGCAAACCGGGGCCTAATCGCCAAACACCATTACATTCTCCTGTTGTATTATCATGGCAATCATTTCATTCATATGACGTGTAACAATAAATATGTATTCCTTACATCACGTCTCTCCGGTTTGAACTTGGAATACGAACACAAGTACAATCAAGTACTTTTATCGTGTACCTTTTGAGTAATACCCTGTCAAACTCCCCTCCAGAGTACAATAATGTATGTTTTCTGCCATCTTTGATGAGATAAAATTATTTTTTGCCATAAGTTCTCGGTGACAGTGGTATTGCTGGACAGAGTATTACTTGGAGTACGACCACAAGTACAATCAAGTACTTTTATCGTGTACCTTTTGAGTAATACCCTGTCAAACTCCCCTCCAGAGTACAATAATGTATGTTTTCTGCCATCTTTAATGAGATAAAATTATTTTTTGCCATATGTTCTCATTGAGACTGGTACTGCTGGACAGAGTACAACTTGGAGTACGAGTACGACCACAATTACAATCAAGTACTTATATCGTGTACTTTTTGAGTAATACTCTGTCAAACTCCCCTCCAGAGTACAATCATGTATGTTTTCTGCTATAGACCTGGTACATGGATAACCACTTGGAGCTTAATGCTCTCAAGACAGTGGAGACTGTTGTGGACTTTAGGAAGAACGCAGCCCCACGACGCAGTCCCCATCACTCTGTGTGACTCCCCAGTCACTGCTGTGAAGTCTTTCCGCTTCCTGGGCACCATCATCGCTCAGGAACTCAACAACAAATGGCCCAGATTTGTACTATAGAAACTCGAAATCTTGTAATGTAGGAAACAATTCACAATGGCTTCCATGTGATATAGGCTTTGTTTTGCAATATTTATTCAATGGTCACTTCTTAGTTAAACAAATCTCAAATATAGATTTTAAATATATCAAATTGAGCATATAAATGAAAACTATTTCACAGCAACCACATCCCCTGCTTTTTGGAAAAGTCTGGAGTCCCAGTCCCCAGCTGGTGCCTTTTTAAAAAAAATATAGGACATACAGCAACTGCATGTTCATGCACATACATTATTTGTCACACAGAGAGCAAACCCAGTCCCCAACTTGTGCCTCTTCAAGAGACTTTTGGTCCATATGCAGGCACTGTGTGTGGCACCACCGGAAACAGCTGTCACACTGAATCTGCAATAGAAGGAGTGGAGACAAATGAGAGTAAAGCCCTGCTTATACCAGCTTCGAGCAATGGTCAACTGCATCCCTCAAGTGTTTGTATTTAGTTTCTGCTTTCATTTAATGCTTTTCTACAAATCTAAATTGTGAAATATCTGAAGTCTCAATATTCATTAAACCTTACAGTGTGGGTGTGATGTGGCATTGAGCCGTGTGGCATTTTAACAAGTTAAAATCTTATATTTATAGTTAGCCTTTTCACTCAGTTTAGACTTTTTGTAATTGTAATAAACAAGAACATTGTTTTATTTTCAAAAATAATACATATACATCTTGAGAAAACAGTTTATCTGTTGACACTTTTTATGGGGATTCTTATTTGGACATGTTAATACAATTTTAAAAGAAAATGTATCACCCCAGATCCCCCAGCAGGGTTTTTGTTTACAAACGTGTCATCTGTTAAACAACATGTGAGTTTGCAGTGTGTCGGGTGGAGAAGAGCGCAAATCTATTTAAAAAAAAGATGGAGGTTATTGGTATCCTCATGAATTTACCCAACATGATATAATGGATCCTAAAACAATACTCTGTTACCTGAAACTGTCAATTCTGTCTACGGGTCTTGCTGACAAATAGTAGGGAAACTACTGTGTGTAGAAGGTGTCTCACGCCCAATTTCACTCAAAACAAAGTGAAATTCGAAAAATTGCGCCAACCACACCATTTTAATAAACAGGATAGGATTAATGTCCATTTTTTTCAAAAGATGTGTAATAAACAATTCATATAAAAATGTGTGTTTTATTTTCGAACACAATTATGTATATAACAACTTTTCTGTTGAAATACATATATACGTACCCTCTTAGTGACTCCATTACAGATGAGATGCACGGAAGCACAAATTGACAGGTATCTACCAAGCCCCCAGGAAGTGCGCCGGACTCTGAGGAGAATATTCGCTGTGGCCAAACGGCGGTACTACACTTCCGTTAGGTTGCTGGGGCCGGAAACACTTTTCCCCATTGACTTACATTGGGAAAGAGTGGTCTGTAAATCGTTGGATAATTTTTAAACTAAATAAACTACCCAGTATGAACGTTTGTATAGCCCTTATTACAAACATTCGTTCCTTAAGTTGTAAAAATTTGCTAATAACCAGGGCTGCACATAACTTTCATATGAACTCCGGTCCGGCCCGTACTGGCGTTATAGATGTTCGCCTAGGGCGCCAGATCTGGGGAGGCGCTGCGCTGGCAGTTCTGGGAGGGAAAAAAACATTTTTGACCGTTGGGGCTCATCCTAATTTTTGGCCTTGATGTAACAATATTCATAATTAAGTCAATGTAACACCCTTTTCACCCCGGTTACACGTTTCATTTGTACTATGGGCGCTGTAAGTGATGAAAATGGGGGATGTTGGCTTATCTGGCGCCCGCAGCTCACAGCCAAAATGTGAGCGAGGGAGAGAGGGAGGGTGCACCGGTACCGGTGCTGTTGTTATTAGCATCTGGTGCTAGCTGCTCTCACGGATATAAGAAGAAGATGTGTCTACAATGATGTGGAGGGAGAGTCCTCTCCAGTCAGACTGAGAGGCTGATAACTACAGCTCAGTGAGGTAAAGGACTCTGAGTGTTTAGATAGTTCACTTTGGTCTAAGTTCAAACGGTTTGGTCACAATTTATGTAAACACATATTTCCAAGGCACTCCTTTATAATTATTGGGATAAACAGGTTTGAAATCATTCCAATGTATACTATAGGACAGTAACCAAAAACATCCTTTAAAACTGGAGATTTAAAAAAAATGCATAAATAAATGTTAACTAGGTAAAATAAGATATGAATGAACAACTAGGGCTGTGCAATTAATCGTATTTTAATTGCGATTACGATTATGGCTTGCGACGATTATGAAAACAGCATAATTGACAAAATACGATTATTTAGCTGGGTGTGCTTCGCCCCTCCCTAAAAGCGCAAGTGAAGATGTCAGAACAAGAGCAGCAAC